CTCAGATTCCAGATTTTCAAATAGTTATATCTCAGCCAAATATTGTCCTATCCTAACAAACACTTGACACTTAAGACTGGTTTTGTGGTCCAGGGCCACATATATCATTTAATGATTGATGATTGATTTAATATATAATTTAATCTATAATATATCAATAATCTATAATCATTTTGTATTACATTAGGTATTAGGTTTACTTTATCTTAAATAAAATAATTAAATCTATTACATTATATTAGAAATTGCAATAAAGTATTCAAGATTGTCATGTAATTTATCGTTTTTTAATGTGTGTACTGACAGTAAATGTGTTTTTATCTGCAGCAAGCAATAAAGAGCGACTCCATTGATTCCACAAACGCTGACTCTAGAGACACCTTACACATCCCGAGCAAACCCTGCTCCAGTGATAACCTTCATCTCAAAGTACCCAGCATTCCCCTCACCGGTGGATCTGCCCCGTGTTCGCCCCAGGCCTCACCTCCCCCTCCCCTCCGCAATCGGACAGCGAGCGTACAAACAAACAGACACGTGTACAGCCAGCACAGCATCCCCTGTCGACAAGCCGCGTACGAGACGCAATCTAGAAAACCTCTAGAAATAACGCACACACATCCACAAACCAAACTACAGGATTCGCATGAGGTGGCCCGACTCAACACGAACGTTCCCCAAAGAAGAGCCTCTCAGCGGGTGGCACGCAACCATAACTTGTCCCCTTATGAACCACCCTATTGTTCTGAAGCCCAGTCTCAAGACTCATTACACGGTGGGGCATCCCGCCAGCCGGGCACCAGTGCTCAATGTCTACGGAAGTACAACAGTATGGAAAATAATGGCTTCCTATCTCAACTCCAAGTCCCTCGGCGTCACTCGACGCACGGGGAGGAGTTACTGCTTCAGCAGCAGCCACCTGGACCTTCTCCAACGCCCAAGAAGGAGAAAATGAGTCCGCCCTGCATCTCCATCGACCCTCCCACCGACGCAGAGTTTCCGTCTCCAGCGGTCAGTCAGGAGCACAGCACAGTCCTAAGACGGCGGACACCATCCTTCGACTCCGCACTACCACGGGAGTCCATAGATCTTCCTGGCATGCAGGATGAACCTCATTTGCCAAGTCGTTTGCCCCTCCCACAATTCTCTTTTGACCAATCGGATGTAAGTTCGCTGAGCAGCCTGTCGGAACTGCTTTCGGATAGTGACCAGTCGACGCACTCCTTCCCTCCCGAGGCTCAGAGTCCACTCAGGAAGAAGGTATTGGTCAGAATGGCCAGCACTAGGGATCCAGGAAATGAGGATTCGTTTGCCTAGGCGACCGCGCAGGAAGCCACTCGCGCATTTCGCCTCTTCGCAAAGCATTTTAATAACAGGAAGAGGCGGTGTTGGCAAAAGTATGCAAATGTGTTTCTGATGGAACTGATGTTTTTTTGCCTGATCATATTGATTAGGGAACTTTTATTAGTGTTCATCACACACACTGATGTTGTGACGTTTTATGTGAGTTCATATGAACATCCATCACAGAAACATGTTGCATCGTGGCATATGATTACTGCACATAACCGTGCAATTTTAACCCTCATATTTTGTTTGGGGTCTGAAAGGTTGATAGTTTCATAGCTCAAAAAGTGTCATTTAAAGTTATCCTGTAAAGCCTGGCAAATTAAATCTAAGTTTATTGAAGTTTTAGACAAAATTAAAAAAAAAAAAAAGTTTGCATATGTGTTTTTGTTTATTTGTTTATTTGAGGGGGCACAGTTGCTTCAGTCCAGTAAATGTATAAAATATAACAATTATTTTTAAGTTTACTTACATCAGTAAATATTTTACCGCAAAAAGACACATGAACCACATCCTGAAGGAAGAAGCATTGATGGATTGTTTTTGTTTTTTAATTTTGACACAAATTGTGATCCAGCATTTGTACGAATCATGCAGAAGTGTAGTTTTGCTTTTTAAAAGATTAGGTTTCCTTCTTGCGCTGGCAAAAAATAACACTCAATATGTCTTGAGAAATGATAAAAATCTAGTTTATTTAAATTTTTTACATTCATTTTTTTTTTTTAATCAGATTGACCCCAAACAGAAACAACATTATTGCATTGTGTAATAATTAACTGACGTGCATGCCAAATTTGTGGTTAATCAGAGGGTTAAACTTCAGTAATATCTGTTTTGATTCAGTCTGAGGAACAGAATAAAATAATTTGAAGGGAAATGAGTTATTATTAGTAAGTCAATCTCAACAGAACATGAGGGTTAAATGGCAGCACTATATTTGTCATCTTCAAGCAAACCCTTACGTCACATGATTAATTAACTTTAAAGTCATGCCCTAATTGTAACACCCTATTGTCTTACAGAGTATATGACACACAGATATATTTTAGCTGAAACATGTGCATGTTTCATAATGCAGATTGTGTAGCTGAATGAATGAGATGATTATTATATATATGTGTGGCATGTGATATTTTTGTAAAGGGTCAGATTTTTACATGTTGTTGGCCTTCAGGAAGAATTGTGTTAAAGGAATGTTCCGGGTTCAAGTTCTACATCTATGCTGCAGATTAATACAGAAAATCATTTTGATTTGTTCCTCAGTTTGTGTGTACAGTGATGCAGTGGAAGTCGATGGGGAAAAGCATTGCAGCAGGATAAAATAGACACGGTTTTGAAACTATAGTCATAAGAGTTTAGCATTGTGTCGACATGACACTAGTGTAATAAAATTTCCTAATAACCCTATAAGTTATATCCAATTTTTCCAGTTTTCACTCAGAAGGTATTACATTTCACATGGCAAGTAACACATTGAAGTAAACATGAAATTTTGAAGTAGAACTGAAATATAATAATATTGAAATAGTATTTTCTTGTAAAATGTGCTACAATTTTACAGTCTGTGGAGGACTTGGAGTGATCAAGCAAAATCAATAAATTAAAAAATTTTTTTAAAGCAAAATCAATAAATCAATAATGTATTAATTCAAAATAAAAATGTAAATAATTTTTTCAAATTGACAAATACACATATTTAAAAGAGTTTAATTTATCTTGTAACGTAGTTAAATGTAATAATTAATAACACATGCAAAGATACTAGTAGGTAGCGACCAGAATTCATCTTGTACAGAAATAACTTTTTCTTTAAACCCTCTGAAATATTTTCCCCTTTGACTTTCATTGTAAGAGCATTACTGTAAACACGTCTTTATATTAATTTTAAGTGTTCTTTCTTTTGAACTGTATTTCACTGACATGCTTCATGTAAACTTTCAATCAGGACATTTATTTATTTATTCCATGCACAAGCATAGAGATTTCCAAAGAAATGAGCTAGCATGAATGCTAACACTTATTTTGGTTTGACAACATTGGTGTTTTGGACCATCAAGTGATGAATTCGGTAATAATTAGCCCATGAACATTTACATTTAGGCAAAGTATTGAATAGCATTATCATTATTTCCCTTCTTGTCACTGTTGCAGTATTTACAACAACATGACGCTTGTTTAGTACCGGTGTCATTTCCTCACATAAAGACAGACGTGCAATCTAAAGTTCCCCTGCATTACCAGTCAAACATGGGCTTTTCACACTTAACCTTGGGTTAACAACTCTTTTAAACCTCAGATTAAGGCCACTTTTAATCCTGGATTAATAAAATTCCCATTTTGACATGACAGGATTTGACAGGAATCCTGAAAAAATTTATCAAGTTTTCTACAAACATATAAGCAGATAATAATAAATGTTTCTTGAGCAGCAAATCAGCATATTAGAATGATTTTTGGAGAATCATGTGACACTGAAGACTGGAGTAATGATGAACAAAAAACGATGAAAAAAAATATTTATTTTTTTTACCAACCACGAACTTTTAAACGGTAGTGTACATTTCCACAGATAAATGAGCAGGTATTAGAACAGGTCACATACATTAACCTGGGGTTTAAAAAAATTGATTTTCAAGTGTGAAAAGCCCTGTAAAAAGATTGATTGATTGATTGATTGATTGCTGTTTACGCATTCTCAGACTCATGCTAATACATATTATTATGTATTGGCATTATTATGCCTGGCATATCTTTAAAAAAAAATATTTTATGATTAACTAGAGTGTAATGGAGGTATTTGGGAAAACCAAGGGCTGCTAAATATAAAGGAGTATCGCTGTATTGAGGTCAGGATATGTGTCATGAGATCCAGAATGCTGTTTGACTGCTTCATGATGCTTTTGGGTGCATCTACAGATGAGAGCATCCATTGAGTATCAAGATACATTTGGTTGAAAAACTATGGACATTAAACAGTTAGAGACTCTTAACTACTTAAAAAGATTTCTATTTTGCTCCCTGTGCTGTGTTTCCTGTAGACTGTAATCCATCGCCACTATGTGTGAACCCTTAAGAGACAGATCAGTGTGCAAACAGGGCAAAATGCCAATACTTTCCAATAATAGGATACAAAATAGGGCTTAAAATAACTTCAATAATAAAAGGAATATAAAAAAAATAATAATAAAACTATGTGTCAGTGAAAGGAGGCATCTTGCCGAAATCTTTCATTTGGG